GGTTCAGGGTTTAGGGTTCAGGAGGTTTGAGCCTCGAGACTTTAGGAATCAAAGAGGGGTGGCTGCGTAGCCTGAAGCCTGAATGCTGAACTAAAGAAGACCCCAACTACACCCTTAGTCATAGTTACCCCTGAATGCGAAACCCCAAACACCAAACCCTGAATCCCAAAACGGAAGCGCTAGAATTGTTCGGGGTTCCGGATTAGAATCCCCAAAGTAATCCCGAATCCCGAAACCTAGAACACTCAACCCCACGACGTGCCTGGTCCTTAATTGGCCCTGGGGGCTGAAACCGCTTCGCCGGCGGCGCTGCCTGATGCAGAAACCAGAAGCCAGAGCTCTCAAGGAATCCCTGCTTGGCCCTAAACGCCTAAACCTCTATAAACCCTAAACCCCTATAAACCCTAAACCCCTATACACCCTAAACCCCTATAAACCCCTATACGAAACGCCACACCCAAATGCAGCATCCTCACATCCGGTCCCAAATACAACCGTCCTGCAGACCTCAACCGATCGCTCGCTGCCTCTAAGATGGCGCGGGCCTGCTGCATCATGTCAGCTGCCTCGGTGAAGCCCAGACAGCCCACAGAGTCAGGTAACAGATCAGTTCTTCGACGTGTGGGACATGAGCTTCTGAGAGAAGCCGGGTGGGAAAAGAAAGTGTGTGATTATTTCGAAGATGCCAGAAAGAACTCAGCTTGTCAACCATAGTAGAAGTAAGCCCCCAACATCGAAACCCAACACTCTACACCCAACACCATTCTTGCTTCGCAGTTTAAGGTGAAAGGTTTAGGGCCTGGGGAAAAGCTCACGGCAGCAAACATGATATAAGAACAGTGATACCTAAAAGATAAATCGTCACGTACATCCGCGGAGCGGCGCTGGGTTCAGTAATATTGCAGGTGATTTTAGCAACAGCAACCGCATGCCAACCGTCATTGTCAATCATGAGCATGCTCTCAATTTTGACTCAATCCTGGCAGCTGTCAAAGATAGTCGCACCAATACGCATGCAAACCCCTCACAACAATAGCCATATTCGACCACCATTTGGAACCACCGGTGCCACCACCACCACCACCACCACCATCAACAACAACACCAGCAGCAGCAGCAGCAGCAGCAGCAGAGCAGCAGCAGCAGCAGCATCAGCAGCAGCAGCAGCCGCGGCGGCGGCAGCAGCAGCACCACCACCAGCCACAATAGCAGCAATAGCAGCACAAATCAAGCAGTTCGAACTAACAATCGCCGCCTCATGCTCTTCAACGTCGTCGTCATCATCTTGAAGCGCAAACTGACAACGGGCATCGCCACTGGGCTCTGCGCCAGCCGCGTTTGGTCTTCAGCCGCCTGCTTCTCTTCCTGTGCAGCGGGTTGGAAGCGGTGCTCAATGGAAGGTCGAGAGTTTGGGGTATCACCGGCAAGTATCGTGCCCTAATTTCGGTTGCAATACGGGCTCGTGAACAATTCGCAACACGGCTCTGGGTGAACTACGAGTGCATAGCAGAGGATCCCCGCTGCAGGAATTACACAGGAATTAGCATGCAAGGTTCAGTGTGTAGGTTGGAGCTTCGACGTCCTAGTGAGAAAGAAACTTGAACAAAGCTGAGTGTCTTGAACCGCGATAAGCAAAACTGAAATTTCTGTCTAAACACGCCAGCAGTTTGACTGGTTGACCCTGCATCTGCTAGCTGGTATCACACTTTGTAGAAAACGTATTCAGAAGACTCATCAGCCCTGCATTCACGACTACACCTCAGCATGAAGCAAGCTCCTACATAAGGGCACCAGATGGCAAGCACACCGAAGCCCGTGCACAACCAATCTACCTGCACATTTTGATCTCGCTAGGAGTAAACTCCAATTTTCTGATCTTGGGTTCCAAACCCAATGCCTTCTGCAACTGAACCTCCAACACAAGTCTGAACCCTAAACCTTAAGCCCCTCAACCAACCTTCACTCCCAAAGCCTGAAAGGGCAGGGACTTAGTAAGTAAGGTTATAAGTCCCTTAATTGGGGTTATAAGTATAGTTACCCTAATTATGACCCTACTTACTAAGTCCCATGATCCAGAGTCTTTCGACTCCCCGGGCCGCCTCGACTTTCCGCCAGGATGCGGCAAGCCGGTCCTGGCAAAGGCCGGGAGCTTCCCAAGGGCCGCAGAGGGGCTCAGCGCTGGCTTTGAAGTGGTTTTAGGACTCAGGTCCTTGGGTTTAGGGTTAAGTTTAGGGTTCACGGGTTGACGGGAGGGCCTAGGGTTCAAGGGCTTGAAAGTGCAGGGTTTGCTGTTGGAGCTCTTCTGCATGCTCAAATTCAGATGGTTACTCTAAACCCTAAACTCCTAAACCTGAACCATGAATGCCGAATGCTCTAAGCCCAAAACCTTATGGCTTAGGGTTTGGGGAGTGCGGTTCAGGGTTTTGGGGGGTGCTTAGTGCTTAGGGTTTTGGGTCGGTTAAGGATTTTTACGACAAGCGCCCGAGCGAGACGCAAAGAGCGCAATATTCCGGGGTCATAGTCGATAGAAGAAGACTAGACGGACCAGCACAAGGCACGAAACAACTGGAACAAGGCTTGTAGCGGTAAAGTGATCCGGACGAGGGCTCCTGCTTACATCAATGGAGGATCTAAGCCCTCCGCCTCTTCGCTGCCGATGACGGAGAGCAAGTGCTGAAAGGCCTTCCGATGGACGACCGCTTGAAAGAAATTCCTTGCTAGGGAGTGGATAAGTAGGGGTGCATCAGAACCTTCAGCATCCTCCACACATAGTGCAAGAGTGCTCAATAATGTGCACACAGATGTCGGGCTGAGATAAAGGCTCCAGTCTCACAGGTCTCGACTCGAGCCTAAACCCTAAATCTCTACACCCGCAAACAAACCTCAAGCAGTGCAGTGGACTCTGACCTGACCTTTCTTACCTGAAGCGTATCGCTCCTTAAACGCACAAACTCTGCATGCTGAGAACGCTTGCCGCCCTTTACTCGAATCCAAACACGTGCGCCTCCTGCAGCCTCTCCTTGCTGCTCGCCTCCCTGGGTTTTTTTCAGGCTAGGAGCAGGAGGTTGACGATTATGCACTTTGTGGGCGATCTAGAAGCTCTAGTTTGGTTTCAGAAGGCTTTGTGGCGGCTGACGGGATCCAGGGCTTGCGATGCCGTCGGGTTTTCTGGGTATCGAGGTTTGGGCTTTCCGGCGTCGCGTCAGGAAGCATGTTTGGCCGAGGGTTGGGGCGAGGTGGGCTCGGGCTTCGCGGACCGGAAGAACTCAATGGAGAAAGCAGGCAAAGGCCTCCAAATGCCCACAACAGATCTATGTCGCGCTTTTTGTTTAGCCTAAGCCTCGGGAGTCCAGGATCTCGCGTGTTGGCGTGTTTTTGCTTCTTTGCGTTGCTGCATCTACGGACTTAGAGTTTCAGGGATTCGGGGGTTTTGAAGACTTGGGACTTCGGGATCCCTAAACCAACGTGCGAAATCCCGCAGCAACATAGAAATTCTACCGTTGAGCCTGTGGCATTGCCAAGATCATTCCTCTGATGTACTGTACGCGCTACATCACACTGCATCCTAAGTAAGGCAACGGCCTGAACTGCTACAACGCACTTTTGTCAAACAATGCAGAGCTTGTACCAGTATGCAGCGATGACCAAACAATCTTCTGAACACGGTTTCGTTCAGAATTGCAGAAGGAGCCAAGCGACGTGAACACCCTGGGGACCCCCAGCACATGCGCAAACCCTTGACCAGGTATTGCTGAGTGGCGAGATCGACATGGCTGCAGCAATGGACCCGGCCACTCCAAGTTCCCTTGCTAGGGGTATTCTTTGAGTTGTGCCAAGCTTGACTAAAAGATTGAGGCTTTAGGGTTTGGGCTGGGGGGTGCTCCCCCAGGTACAGCAGACTCAATTATCATCAGGTTCCTTGAGTACGAGACGCTGGTCTCGGGTTCGATCTTTTCTGAAGTAGACTCTGGTTCGCCCTACGTGTTAAATGCTGTGCGACTGTGATGACATGCTGCACAATATACTCTGTGCTCCTCCACTCTGCTCTATATTGCGGAACGCTTGAGTTGCGGCGTCGAGCAGCACGAGCATGCATCTGAAGCACTTACAGCCCTCCTCAAGTGGCCGTTTCCTGTTCCGCGGGGTTTTAACGCACGGAACCTGTCTTTGAAACTCCGCAGCGGAATCAGGATTCGAGGCAGAGATCTCGGTGCCATCACCTCGTGTGGAGTAGGGTTTCGGTCTGGAGGCAGCTCTGGGTTATGTGCGTATGGTTTGAGTTGTGCGGTCTGTTCTGGACAGGTTGCAAGCAATGTCCTCCCACCGTGGAGATTAGTACTCATCCTAGAGATGCTCGAGCTTGCCCCAGGCTAACCTACTAAAGGTTGGAAGAGGTAATCTCACAAACAGAAGCACACGTTGCTTGCAATGCAGTAGCAGCAGCGGTCATACACATCCTACTGCGACCAAGAGTACTGCTACTGATCCTCGAACACCTCATCTAACTTGCACGGCAACTCCGGTTCCTGCACCTGTACTCGCAGTTCCAGTAGAAGTGAATAGCAGGAAAAGAAGCAGCAACACAGCATTGTCGATGCCATCACCATTGTCTTCATCACCGGCATCATCATCATCATCATCATCATCATCATCATCATCGTCTTACTATTATTCTTCATCTTCATCTACATCTTCATCATCAGCATCGCCACCTAGATCATCATCACAATCACCATCATCACCATTACTATCTTGAGCGCATCGTCATCATCATCATCGTCGGACGATGCACAGTCATCATGATCACCACCATGCTCACTATGACCAGTATCATCACCAGAATACCTTGCTCACAAGCGCTGCGTGGCGCCAGAGAGCGACGTAGACGTCTTCGGCGTACACACGTTGATTGGGGGGTTTCCGAAAATAGGGGAAAATAGCAGGATCCTTATAGTAAGTACCGCCAAAATACGGTACACCGTATTTTCGGAAACTCCCTTTTGCATTGCGGCAATGGCCAAGGGGCCGGGTGGCCCGGAGAGGCGATTCCGTGTAGTTGGCCCAGTCGCCTCTGCTGCGAAGAGGCTTCGGCAATGTTAGGATGAACTGGCCCATGACCGTCACTACCCGAAACAGCAGTGAAACGAAATCCGGCGAAACCCCTGAAAGTGGAAAAAGAACACCGGCGCTGTGAGGCCCTGAACCCTTAACCCAGATCCAAGGAGCCCCAAGCGGATCCCGTGAGGCCATCCTGGAAGAACATGCCTCGATGTAGTGAGCGTTCTATGCTTGGGCTCGGATTCAAAACTCGTGGTTTGAACAGCTAGACTTAAAGACTTTAGGGTATGGCAAAGAGTGTCTTCCCTAGCGGGTGCCCGCGCCCGCTTTGTACATTGCAAACCCACGGCCCACTGTTTTCAGCGGCCGCCAGAGTTCCGGTCTTCTGGGCTGAAGGGCCATGAGGGTGGTTGTCAAAATTATGGTCCCTTTTTGGGTCCTTATTATAATACGGCACCTATTATTTAGGGTACCCCAAAAGGGACCATAATTTTGACAACCACCCATGAAGAGTTCGGTGCTTCTGAGGCTGGGAGGAACCCAGAGATACGGCCACACGACTCGCAGCTTCTCTGCGCACCCGTCCCAGAAGCCGCCTAAGCCGTAAACCGTTTGGGGCTTTGGGCTTCGGTTTGCGGAATCTGTGCTGGGCTTTCAGGATGAGCATTGGGCAAGGTGCCGATGATCGCGAACATCGCCAGCCTGGCAACGTATGAAGCTCGGTGGGGCTTAACGTCTGGAGTTTGGGGTTTTGGGTTTTGGGGGTTTGCGGCTACTCGCGGGCTTCAATGTCAAGATGCCTTCATTACCGAACTGGCCGCGAATTCCAACGGGGTTCCTGACTTTGCAGGGTGAGGCTTGTTGTTTTTGTGTGCTGATTGCAAAGAGCCGGGATTAATTAGCAGGAGTCCTTGAAGTAAAGTATGTTGGCACACAGAATGTCGGATTGTTCTAGGGCACCTGACTCAATGGTCTTGCGAAACAATGCACTGCATACATACTGCGGAACGTTGTCTTGGGGATAGGAGACAAACAAGTGCTGGGGGCTCCTACCCCCTACCCCCTCCCTTTCCCCTCATCCTCTCCTCTCTATCCCTCACTACCAATACCCGTCCCCACCCCCGCACGCCCCCCCTGCCTGCCGTTGTTGATCTCGGCGTTCAGGCTTTTCATCTTCTTCTCGGAGTCCTGACACTTCCCAAAACAGATTCTCATGTTGGCATCATAACAACTGTGCGACAAGCAGTAGTTGCAACTCTGGCCGAGCAGGGGTGTCCAGTTCAAGCCAGGTCAGAGACCCTAGAATGCCAATCTTTCAATCTCCAATCACGTTCCTTTCGGGGACGATGAATCAAATCTTCTTCGGTCAGATTCTCTTGCAAGACGACTGGTAGTTTCGCTTCTGGAAGCGAGAGCCGTGGACAAACCTCAAATAGCGCCCTCGCCACCTAGAGCAACCACAAACCTCAAAACTCGTCTTAGCAACAACCCTTTCGAGCCCAAGCCCTAAGACCTTCCCCCTTCAACCCTAAACAAATGGAAACTTAGAACATAGGGGTCATATTTTCGACCCTGACATCAGGACCCTCACAAGGGAAACCCAAAACCTTGAACCCTTCCCGAATGTGGAGCTCGGCAGCAGTCCTCAATCTTCTTGCCGAAGGGGAGTCCAAATGCGCCGTATCCTGGAGCAAAGTTAACTTACGTGTACCGCGTTTAGAGCATCGAACATTGATAATACAGGCTCCGAGTGCTGACAATCAGAACATAAGCGTCATCGTGGCCAGCATTATCGTAGCAACACAAAGTGCGAAAGCACCATGGAATGGGCATAGGGAGATAGTATAACATCACAGTCATAACCATATTCATAACCAGGTTTGTGGCCATACAGACAAAACACCAATGCGATTGCAGATGCAGCGGGAAACGAAGTAGATCGACATGCCATCAGCAACAGATCAGCAAGTCTAGACTTAGACATACACAATCTGAGGGGGTAAATCAGGGTACAGCCTGACGTGCAAGGCTTTGCAGGGTCTCATCGGTGTTTTGCGAGATTTGCAACTTGTTGGCCTTTTATGTAAGGTTTGTGAGGGCTTTTCGGCACATACGGAGGTTCGAGCAATCATGCGTCTACAGTAATGCTTCATTGCTTCGTTCCCAGTTGAGGGCTTGGGGTCTGGACCGTCTACGGTTGAGGTTCTAAGCTTGGAAACTCGCGACGACGACACCCCAAAGCCCACAAAGAGCCTTCCCTCCGAGCGAAAGTTTACAAACATCCGACAGGGAAGGACACGTTTGAAGGATAAGTAAGCTTCTTCGACGTCGCGTGGGGCGTTGCGGGATCCCCACGCCAAACCCTCAAGGCCTCAACCCGGAAAGCCTGAAGCCCTAAACCCCGAGGTGCGGGTCCGTAATCGCCCAGCACGTCGGTCTGGATGGACTGGAGGTTCGTCACCCTTTGGCGATTCAGATTCCGAGCTCCAGGCTTGAAGAACCCAAACCTTGCAGCCCAGAAAGCCGCTAAACCCGTGGGCTTGAGAGAACATTAAGTATGGATTTCTTTGGCTTTCTTTCCTACGCCAGGAGCGCTGGCAGAAGCCTTCGATCACCGTCACAACACGAGCTTCTTCAAACCCTGAAGCCAATGCGACTTCTCAAAGAAGAGTGTTCCTCACAGGCGACCCGTCATTGCATCCGAGAGGCTCAATGATGCCTACCTCGTCGCTCTGTGGATAGGGGTCATGCGGGTTTTGCGCATATTATGGCAGGCGGGCAACTGCCATTGGTTGAATGCCGGACTGCGCTTCTGAACCAACTGCTTTGCAGGGGACATGTTACTAGCATCTTCCTCCAGCCCTTGCAAGAACGAGGAACTTGAAACTGAAGTTTGTTACCGGTCTTGGAATTTTGAGATTTCTGACAGCCCAAGAAGCGAAAGTGACGATCTGGAGCCAGCCTGAAATCCAAGGAGACAGGTGATCTATGTTTCGTATACACAGCGTGACACTTAACGGCTCTGCAAGCTGTGTCCCTGCCGGGTATTCTTCGTCCAGAACATGACCACACCGGCCAAAGAGGAACCCTCTGCTCTCTGCTAACGATGTTCCGAAGGGTAGCAGAAGCTGGGAGCACGGGATTACCTTGGTTGGTCTCATGACACAAATTTTGACCACGCAAAGGTCCAGGAAAAGATGCACGCGTTGCAGGTGGGCTCGGCTGCGAGGAGGAGCAGGAGGAGGAGACTTTGCTAGCAAGCGGGCTATGATTGGGGTTGCAACCCTAGGCACAATCGCATTTGTATCATTGCTTAGCAAGGTCCGCGGACCCTGCAAGAACGAAAAACAGTTCCTCTAGACCGCTTCGAAAGCAACTAAGTATGCCACTGTCTAAATCGCCTTACTCTCCCAAAATGGGGCTATTTCGCTGCCCTGTCGTGAGCATCACAAGGTCCAAGCCGTGCCTTTCATTCTGCTCTTCTGAATAGTTGTTGTTCACTCTCCTCGTCCTCGTGTTCTGCGAACTTCCCCTAGCTTTTCTAGAGCTCCCCAGGCCTGCAAGTGGCACCGTGGCCGCACCCTTCAGTCCGTTGGGGATGTCCTGGGCTTTGTGTTTACTGAGATGCTTGGGGTGGGGGGGTGGGAGATTTTACAGGAGGGGGCTTCTTATCATGGGAGGTTTTGGTGGAGTGTACAACAACAAAGTAGTCCTCGAGTTCGGTCTATGCTATAGGGCCCCTGTTATTCTCGTTCTCGCATCGTGCATTGCTTGCGATTGCATTTCGGTCGACGTCCCGGTAGCAGGCGGGAAGGGGTCGGGCAACATGCAGGGTTCAGGCCTTCACGATGTAGGGTGGAGGTTTAAGGCCAGGGTCGAGGGTTTGCGTAAGAAACACAAGCGGAAGACTTTCCGGAACTTCATGTTCAGTGCAATGCAAGACCCACACTTTTCAGCGTTGCATGGTGTCCGAAATGAAGGTTGTTCGCTCCCCACAAAAAAAGGTAGACCCTCCAAACTCCAATCTGAGACCCCCAGATGATGCCTCAAGGCTCGAAGCATGTGCCTGCAAGCGGGACTTTGTCTGGGCTTTGAAGTAACCAGGGAGAAAAAAGTATAGACTTTTATTTCATAATGGTTCCTTTAAGGAACAGGTCCCAAAAAAAAGTATTAAAGTATGGTACACCAAAGCCTAGTTCTTCTTCTTGCCAGGGAGCCGTGAAGGCCAGGTTCTGGGAAGGTGCGCAGAAGCCTTCGGCCGAGAGTTCTCATGGCGAAAGCTTCCCCTTTTGGGTTTAGGGTTTAGG